AGACAGCTCGCCCCAGCGAGGGATCTCTGTGGCCTCCGGGAACTGGTGACGCCACGCGTCCGTCAAGCGGCCAAAGCAGCGCTGGGTGGGGTGCGCACCCCCACACAGCTCACCCGCAGGGTCACCGGTGCGCAGGACGTAGGTGCACGGACCAAAACCCCCACCCCGCTGGCGTGCAGTGTACCACTCACGGAGCTGCTGAGGGGACAGGGTCTCACGATCGCGCTGCTGCTGCTGGCGCGGACCACCACCGGAGCCACTCCTCTGCGTAGACCCGCGACCAGCTCCACCGCCACCCCCGCCGCATCCGCCGCCTCCGCCGCCTCCGCTACTACCGCCGCCTCCGCCGCCTCCTCCACCGCCACCACCTCCGCCACCTCCGCTCCCACCGCCACTGCCGCTGCCGCCTCCGCCTCCACTGTCGCCACCGGCACCTCCACCCCCACCTCCACTCCCACCACCACCCCCACTCCCCCCGCCGCCTCCACCTCCACCTCCACCGCCCCCGCTCGCTCCTCCAGCGCCCCTGCCCCCCTTGCCCTTGCCAGAGCGGCGTCTCCCGCTAGGGGTAGACGCCGCACCGACCGACTCAAGACCAAGGAGGTCGGCCGCAGCAGCAGAGGCAACGGAGGGCAGAAGGGGGGAGGGGGAACACCCCTCAAAGATGTGGGTGCGCGGGTCACCACGAGAGGCCCCTACAGCGACTATGCTCTTCTCGGCCGCTAGGAGGGACTTCTCGAGGAGGTCAACAGTGAGAGTGGTGGGACAGACTTAGAGGAAGTGGTCCCTGACTACGCGAAGGGAGTCAGGGAGGCGAGTGACTAAGTAGTAGAGAGTGATGTACATGGGGGGGGGGGGTTCTTGGCGCAGAAGTCAGCAGGAAGCGCAGCGCGGTAGCGAGTGTCACTAGTGCGGAGGTGCGTAATGAGGTCAGCGACTGTGGGAAAGGCAGCAAGGTCAGGGAAGAGGTACGGTAGCATTAGGCGGCTCAGTGCAGCAGTGGCAGGGGAAGAGTAGCGCGCAACTACAGCGCTGTACAAGGTCTAAGCACTCTTGTACTGACTAAAGTGCGCGCGCTCAGTGGTAGGGAGGTGGCGACGCACAGCAAGACGTGCAGCAGCATCGCGAGTGGCCCACTGTGAGCGAACGGTGGCGTCGGCATCGGCAGCAGGGGCAGGGGAAGCACTAGAGGTGAGGTCAAAGAGGGAGAGACCGTCTGCCCTATCGCACTTTAGGAAAAGCTGCAGGTCATCTACCCAGACGTCAGAGTCAATGGCCCGACCCTCAGCGTCAAAAGTGAGAACACTGGGGGTAGCCATGTCAGTAGTAGACTAGCAGCGCTAACTGTAGAGCAGGGGCAGTGCGATGACAGAGGCGCGGCGCTCACCAGACAGGGCGGTTCGGGCAGCTCGGGCGGCTCAGCAGCAACTGCAGCTCGGCGGCACCAGCGGCTCGGCTCCTCAGCTGCTCAGGCGGCTCGGGCGGCTTGGGCGGCTCGGGCGGCTCGGGCGGCGCGGGCGGCTCGGGCGGCTCGGGCGGCTCGGGCGGCTCGAGCGGCTCGGGCGGCGTAGCGGCGCGGGCGGCTCGGCTGCGGAGGCGTGCGGGCGGGGCCGTAAGTAGGGCGGCGGGGCCGGGCCGAAGGTAAGGCGACGGGGCCGGGGCCAGGCCGTAGGTAGGGCGACGGGGCCGGGGCCGGGTCGTAGGTATGGTGACGGGGCCGGGGTCGGGCCGTAGGTAGGGCGACGGGGCCGGGGCCGTGCCGTAGGTAGGGCGACGGGGCCGGGTCAAAGGTAGGGCGACGGGGCCGGTGCGCAGGTAGGGCTACGGGGCCGGGGCCGGGTCTTAGGTAGGGCGACGGGGCCGGGGCCGGGTCGTAGGTAGGGCGACGGGGCCGGGTCGACGGTAGGGCGACGGGGCCAGTGCGCAGGTAGGGTGACGGGGCCGGGGCCGTGCCGCAAGTAGGGCGACGAGGCCGGGGTCGCAAGGGGGGGGGGGCGACGGGGTCGGGGTCGCAGGTAGGGCGACGGGGCCGGGGCGCAGATAGGGCGACGGGGCCGGGGCGCAGGTAGGGCGACGGGGCCGAGGCCCAGGTAGGGCGACGGGGCCGGGGCGCAGGTAGGGCGACGGGGCCGGGGCGCAGCTAGGAAAGGGGAGCGCGACTCGGGGTGCGCGCGCTCCGGGCAGGAAAAAATATATATTTCGAGTTGGTGGGCCCTAGGCACAGTTCCCACGAGGGAACCTGCTCGATACCATGAGAAGATTGAAACGAGAATCAATGAACTATGAATGAACTGAGTACAAGTACTAACCCTAATTGGGTTGTACCCCTTATGGGCTACCCCACTATAGCCCACACAATAAGCACAAGCTATATGTTCTGACACCCAGTGCATGACTGCATCTGACACCTGCGCACGGCAAACCACATACCCGCGCACGTGAGGACACTCTCCCTGGTACTTTAAGTGATGTAAAGTTGCAAGGCTTATGCGTACCACGTGCTCCAGCCATGCCACGTGATAGAGCTTCAGTGTCACGGTCCCGTTCACCATCCTTGGCTTGAACACCGCCCGTGCGCATGCTGTAAACGCCCCAGACGCGAACGGCATCCCGTCACGGTCGCAACTCCACCGAGAGAGAGCCAGCTTACCTGCAACAACGCGCACACACATAGTGCACATTTAAAAACGGTTTCCTCTGCATGTGCAATGCACTCTCGTCCTTACCCGCAGGCACGTCTCCAAGGCCGACCCTATCTCGGATTCAGGACAGGGTGCGCCTCGCCCGTGTCGCCCAGGGACTCTTCATGTCTCGGTCGTGTCGAAACAGTCCAATCTTAGGCAGCGAGATGTCGCGAACTCTTCCTGCCGCACCAGTCTTCCAGTCGCTGAACGACCTGTTCAGGTCGATCCGGCGTGTTAAAATAAGCGAGAGTGAGCAATGAGTAGTAACTAGGGCCTAGGCTTAGAAGCCTAGGCCCAACTTAGGTATCGAGTGGGTTTTGCCTAGGGAGGAGAGTCGAGAAAGTTGTAAAGGTGAAAAGTGATGGTTTCACTATAGGTTCAAGGGTACATATAGCATAGAAACCAAATAAGGTGCACCACCAACAACAGTTTAAATAACTACACTAACTACAACTACAAGCAGTTATAAAACATGACAAATATATTTCGACACGGCGTGCCTTGCACACAGCGAGAGCAACGCTTGCATAGCTCTCAGTCAGGTTATCCACGACAGCGCAGATGGCCCATGTCTTGGCTGCGTTGCTGGGGTAGAACGTCAGCTGCGAGTTGGAGCGCCTAATGAACAGCTCGGTGCGGGCCTGCTCACAAACCTCCTGCAATGTAAGACCACGCATTACGTCATCAGTCACCACGCATGTTCCACTCTGTGTACGGCACAATCCATCCAATATGCGACCCTACAACACTCGAGTCTTACCTTCCAGGGTTTGTCGGCCGGGAGGAGGTCGAGCGCCTCTTGCATAATGGCAGATGTGGAGTGTCGAAGGTGGCCCTCGTCCTCGTCATCGAAGTCCCCCTCCTCATCGGACGCCGTGTCAGATGCCGAGCGTGCCCTCCGCGCCTTCCGGCGCTTTCCCTTGCCGGAGCCGCGCTTTCGCCTCCTCCTCTTCTTATTGTTGCCGTATTCCTTTGGTTTCGCAAGGAATGCCGTCTCCAGCCTTGCAATCGCACGTGCCGTGGCTTCATGGAGCTCCCTCATGCTATGCAGCTCCTCGCGCGTGACTGGTGCGTCATTAGGAGCACCTCACGTGCCGGCGTCGTCCCCTTCTGCGTCGGCCTCAGCATTGTTGTCCGCTTCAGGACCATCTTCGTCCTGAGTGCGGCGTGGGTTACGACTTGGGAGAGCCTCGTTTGGATCGTCGTCCGATGATGGCGCCGGGGGTGCGTCAGGTTCCCCCTCCACTTGTGCAGAGCCCTCGATGACGTCTTGAACGGGACGCTTGCGCCTGCGACCCGCCTTCCCGCTGGATGCAGCGGCCTCGTCAACCTGCCGGCTGGACTGGGCAGAGGAGGAACTACCCTCTGAAGTGCTCCCATGTGACATACGCGAGTCCGTGCGAGTCCCATGAGATGGTGTCACGGCTGCATCTCAAACCAGGAAACAAACAACGGAGTTAAGTGACAAGCGCAAAGCACATACGAGCATACTGTGCATGAATGTCACAAGCCGGTGTAGAATGGACGAAGCATCAGACGCATTAGCAGGGCGAAACGTTGGTCACTCACGTGGCGGCGAGGGAGGACCCCTTGCTTGCTGCTCGGTGGCATGTTTCGAAACATCCAGACGAGGCTTCTTCGTCACCTTACGCCTAACATTCCCAGGCAGAAGGTAAGAGTTCCGTAGGTAGGCAGGCGGTTGTGACACGCGCTGACTCCTGCCCTCACGTGACGACACTGTGAAACTGTCCATCGTGAACACAGTTGTGGGCAAGAATGAGTCTGGCTTACATATTGGTCACTACTTACGCATTCTACGTCCAACCCAAGGGCACGTCTGTGCTGTACCCCCCCATTACACGTGGCAATCACTTGTCGGTCATACTGCGTCCGTCATCTGGCAGCTTTTGTCCACATGGCGACACCATGACGCAAAGTTATCCACATATCTCGTTATACAGTCGAGTCATTTGTTACCCAACATGGCAGCACCATAACAACATCTGCTACACCTTTTGTTAAACTAGTAAGGGTCATCCGCGAGGTGCATATGTAATCAGACATTGGAGGATATTCATTATGCGCCACTACAAGACATCCACATTGCGACATCAATGCAGTACGCACTCTTTCACACCAGGGGATAGAACTACATCTAGCATCAGAAGGTGTTCACACATAGTACAAAGCTTCCTGTACAGGTCCAACGACCTAGGCACCGCCATCCGTGTAGCAATCAGCCTCGCCCAGTTTCCTTGACGGCACAGCTCATGCCGCCATGGCACTATATATACCCATTTTTTCAATCAATTGCGCCTACTCGTCCACCGCCTCCACATCATGGACCATCCTGCCTTCCACGTCGCCATCACCACTGCTGTTGTCCGGCGACCGAGCGCCATTGTTTTCGAGGGGGAAGGGAGTACTAGGAGCAATGCCCAGCTCTGCCATTGCTGTCCTCCACTGACGCCACCTCCACCACATCCGTGCCTTGACCAGATGACGCACGTCGTCGCGAACACACCCGATCAGGGATGCCTTCTTCACGTCCGACAGCTCCTTCGTGTGCTGGATGTGGTCATTACGCCTGATCACAAATGTCGCCGCAGCATACGCATACGCCGCATCGAGCTCCACATTATACGCACCCAGCCTGATCTGCTGACCAGTGCCTAGGCCGCACACCATCTTAACCCCCCACTTTCGGCCCCGTGGGCACCAACTCACCCCTGTCCAGCGACTGGATGCAGGCCGACCACCGTACGCGGCAGGCATGCTGGTCTGACGCACGGCCCGTGCTGCATTCCTAGTCCCGGCACGCGTGCGATACCTGGCAGAGCGCGAGACCGTCGGCGGTGCTGCCGGAGTCACGGGAGCGGTTGGGAGCTCCTGCTCCCCCGTCGTCACGGGCTTGACATCGGCTGGTGTCGGCTCACTATGAATGATGGACGACCCATCGAGATGCGCAGAAGGGAACGATGGGAGCGGAAGCGGACAGGGAGCCGATTGGATGGTTATGCCGAGCGTCCGCATAGATGCGGCGTGCTCCACGTGGTTCTTGGACGTGGACAGAGCCAGCAGAGGCGTGCCGTGTGCCTGAAGCTCGTGTGCCGCTCCACTCAGCAGTTGATCCTCCGAAATCCCCAGCGAACGTGCCAGGCCCATGACAGCCGCACACACAACGTACCCCCCTAGCTCCACCCGGGTTATCATGCCTGACTGCCTCGCCAGGTCGGTGCGGACTTCGTCCTCCTTGGGAAAGACGAGGGCGTCGTGTTCTCCCACCTGGGGAAGAGGCTGCACGGGAACATCCACACCCTCCCCAAATAGCTTGACAATAAGGTCACCTGTGGCGTGGAGGGACACCTCCTCGCGGAGCTGGCGCCGGTAGGCCCACGATTTCACGCCGTAGAACGGCATCCACTCTTTGAGGATTGAGAAGCCGGACGAAACCAGGGCGTGGAGATACATGCCCACATAAATGCCACTGTCTACCACGTTCGACTGTTGTGGGATGTCTTCCGACTGCCAGCAGACACGGAACATGAGAGCGCACACGTCAAGTGACTGACAAACCAGACTGTGTCCGCGACATGACTGCGACATGAAGTGCACTCACATGCATGATGTGGACGTCGGCATACTTCAAGTGGTCCTCTGCCTGCTTCTGGTCGGCCGTGGGCAGCTGAGCTTTGTGCAGCACGAGCAACATCCTGCAAGGGAAGTAGGTTACCGGTGGTCGTTATGTTGGCATCAACAACATTTATCAAGATTTGGGCATGGCACAAGTACAAGATGTACCACTCACTTCTTGACGCCCTCCATCACTTCCGGCCTCTTGGTGTGCAGCTGTGCACTATCGTGATGCACCAGCTCCACGCCGCCCTCTGCAGTCTCGGATAGCTTCCCGCTGACCATGGTGCGGAGGTTCGTAGCTATGACCAGCGAGTAGTGGCCCCTGGCACATGTAAGCACATTGTATGTTAAGGAACGCGTGTCGACACCAACTGCTCTGGTGCCCGGCAACTATCAGCAGCATGAGCATCAAGGGGTAGACGCCTTACTCGTAACACACTGGGATGGCGAGGTAGTCCTGTGCGAAAATACACGGTGCATGGCCAAGGGGCCAAGCCTTGTTCATGGATGTCACAAACGTAAACGCCTTTGTGTCCAGAGCGAACCAGGTTTTGCCTCCTTCCAGCTTCGGATACCTTATGTTCAATAGTCTGGATCACAGCACATATGCACAAAATGGCTCGTCAGGCAAGATACGAAAAAAGAGCATACAGCATGTATAGTACATACCGATTCATGGGCCTTACATATTATGGAAGTCCACTACTGTGTCGGCCAGACACTGTCCGTCAGCGAGCGTCAGGACATCCTGTGCTGGCAGCTGACACCCCACTCCATGGGGACCGTAGAGTGCCAACGTCTGGAAATCAAGCTGATAGTTGGGCCGGGCAAGACGGGCAACGACATCGTCACTGGGAGGCGGCGGCACCTCTCCTACGCCCCTCACACCGCTGCCCGCCGATGTCACTGTACGAGGGCGTGGCAACTCCTGCTTCACCTTGCGCTTTCGGCACTCCTGCTCCGTTGACAGTGTGGTCAGGGCACTGGCCGCGCATGACACATTGTCTCGCTGCACCAGCATACGCTGTATGTTCATCGTGTGCACTAAGAAGACTTAGACGCGTACTGTGTAGGTAGACGGGAGAGATAGACAGAGAGTCGAGCGTCCAAAACCTAGTCTGCTGTAATGGCAGCTCATCGGACGACTATATGAGGCAGCGGACATTGTAGCTTTGCCTGGTGTGTTGTTGTTCGGAAACCCTCAGCATAGATAAGGAACACCAAGCTTACCATAGCGCGCCAGATCCAGCTGTCCCTAAATTGGCGCTGAACGGTGGATATGCATGACGGCACACGTGTCATGTTTTCGAATCATGTATAGGGCCCTCAGTGGGGACCTGGGATTTACTATGCATGTGGCTGCGAGGTTGCAAGAGTGGGTGTGTGATGGTCCATACTCGCTAATGTTCGTGCATCATCAAACACTCAACATCTTTGTTGTTGCGAATAGAACTTTCAACATCTTGTCCAGCGCACAATAAGCATGAACTACCACCACGTGGCTGTGGTCCGGTTCGCACATCCAAGGTGGCATTCAAAGCCTATCTACACGCTCTCGTTTAACACAGTCTCGCAACAACAGGTAAGACATTACATCCAATTTCATACTTGCACACCATTATGACATACCATAGCACGCCACACTCTTACGGTCGTCGAAGAAGGCCGTAAACACCCCTACATACCAAATTCCCGACCCCCCCCGCACCATTACCGCGCCAAAGCTGGCCTCATTTTATGGTCGCGGTACATCAAATTATGGTTACAGTCGATGGACGGGGACGCTTGGTTGGCGTCCGACGCAGACGGCTGACGACCAGAGCGTTCGATGCGCCAAACCACTCTGGTGCGTCCCGCACATTAATGCCGAGCTTTAGGGCCTGACGGACAAGGTATTCGGTGACGACGCGCGCCACCCGCCTGCGACAACGATGGTCATTCAGTAGCGGTCCTGGCTGCGTGTGCAGGGTTATCTCGCGGCTGTCCTCGGCGCCTGGGGTGTCGTTCATGGTGCGCTGCACGCGTGGCGGGAGAAGGGTCACCTCGCAGTGCGCATAATCCGTGGCATGCATGAGAGTGTGGCCAGGCCGTGCGAACTCGTCTATGATGTACTGCAGCTGTCCCAGTTCCTGAACAAGAGGTTCGTACAAGACACAAAGAACGGGGTTTACGAACTCTCGCACGAAGGAGCGCCACGATGCCGGCACACAGCCGGCGCGCCACCAGCTGAGATGGACCGAAAGCGGAGTCAAGTCCCTCCACGTTGAACCCATCCAGTTCACCATGATGGACAGGGGAGGGGCGTATCGGAACAATGCGCTGTCGCGCCACTCTGGTGTCATCATCAAATGGCGAAGGTATGAGGAACGGTACAGTGTCTTCCACAGCTCTACCAGACCGCACATGCCGGGATGGATGCACCTTGGCGCATCAGGACCCTGCATGTGAATGATTCGGAGGTTGCTTAGGTTCTGCACGCGGAAACCGTGCTCCGTCGTTTCCATCACGGATGGATCAGTTGACGAGTGGGCGTCTCGTGTCACGAGGACGATGACATGGTCGTCTGTAGAGTACGACCGCCCGTTCAACGCTTCAAGGTACTCGCTGAATATCTGACAAGCATAACACGCGAGGATGGAGCAGGCATGTTAGCAACTGGGATTGCACGAGGATAATGTCAAGGCATTCCGCATACTGGACGGGGTATGAGCAGAATATCTCCCACCTCGGGCGTGACGAACCCGTCCACGCTGTGTCGCACGAACACGGTAAACTCGGGGGGTGTTTCAAGGCCTTGAGCAAGCGCGTCGTCCGCGCAGAATATGAGAAGAGGCGGACACATGATTGTTCCCGTTGCATTGAACAGGAAGCAGACATTGATGCGCCAGCCGGCCAGCGGATCATCGTGTCCATCTTCAGACTGAAGGAAGGGGAGCCTGGTGGGCAAGAGAGGCTCCTCCACGAAGCAGTACACGTCGTCTGGATTAGCCTTCATCTCCGCGAGTAGCATGGCCATTTCAGCCATGGTTGAGAGCTAGAGTGCACCACCGTCACCAGTGTGGAGAATATAAGCTCAACTAGCTTACTCTAGGAGGATGCTGGAATGACAGAGAGCGTCATTGTACACGCGGACATTATCCGCCACGTAATCACATCCCGCAGCACTCTTGTCCACATACGTTAGAGGTGTGGACACATGTGGTGTCGTCATTCGGACCCAATGCGCCACCAAACATCCGCACATCGACGAGAGCGGGTAAGATAAGTGGTCAGGATGGCGCCAATGTACAGTGAATTGGTGGGGTTTCGTTCGGGTGCGCTCATGTTGGAGAGGTTGTTGCTGTTCGGTTTGACTGGCCTAATCAACTATCCTAAACCGATGCTATCTCCTGCTTTACGTGTTTCATGCAATGTTACTAATAACGGGTACACATTTGCCGTTCCCCACCGTTAACAAGGTCGCAATCACCGCTTCGGGAGGTGGTACCAAGACAGAGGGGGTTGCTGGTACATTTGTGTGTGTGTACGAGTGGCACAGTTTATCGGTAATTTGCAATTAGGGTTCGCGCCACCTCTTGCGATGCTGGGTAACGCATGCGAGGCATGCGGCTTGGAGCACGTCGATGACAACACGCTCCAGTCGCATGTGTCTAAGAATGTCAAGTGCAGGAGGAAGATACAGCACTCTCGTGCCCAGCGGCTGGTGGAGGCGTATCGGGACGCGTTGCGCGCCAGGCGCAGAGCAATGCCCCGTTCACCCGTGCGTTCTCGACGCAGCTATGAAGGCGGCTCTGCTAAGAGGGCCGCAGTGGAACCGGGTGCAGTTGCCGATCAACCCGACCCTCCCGAAGGCCTAGAGGAGGATAGCGACGGGGGTGAGAGTGTCATGTCAGTGATTGACGACGGCTTCAACACTCTGGTCGAGCTGTACATCTTCTTCCGCGAGGCAGATCTGTCGAGAAGGGAGGTGAACAGGCTGCTTAACATATTTTAGAACCCTTATTTCTCTTTGAGGGACGTGAGGCGGTGGCTCAATTTCGTAGACGTGAGACGCTATGGGCGCGACAGGGCGCCAAGTGATCATGTCCCATGGAAGACGAGGGACATCAAGTGCTACGGCCCGAGAGGAAGGATGTGTACGCTGCTGCTGCACTACCGAGATACTGAGTTGGTGAGTGCATGTGTACATGCCTGGGAAAGGGGCCACTAAATGTTCGTTTCGCGGAAGAGGGTAATCGACAGACCATTAACCCATCGTGTACATGCGTGTGGCAGCTGGTGAAGAAATTGCTACGCGCATTCCAGCACATTGCGGGATTTGTGACCAAGCCTCGGGCGGACGAGGATGACACCGATACGGTGCGGCATTACAGCACTCCCGACACGGGAAAGTGGCTGGAAGAAGCGCAGGTATGAACTCGTATTCAGCTGGGTGGAATGCGCTTAACCGATCAAGCGTTGCATCACTGACGGTTGGGTCCACTATGTGCGCAGGCTGTGATTGGGGAGGAGGACTGCATTGTGCTTGGTGTGATTGTGTACAGCGACAGCACGCACGCCTCGAGAAATGGCAGACTGGCGGCATGGCCGGTCCTAATCAGTTTGTTCAACATCTTGGAAGCGCTCCGCTGGCAGGAGCCGGGCCACGTACTGGCTGGGGTTCTGCCGTTCCCGCCAGAGTGGGCGTCGCCGACCGAGAAGACACGCATTTTCCAGCAGTGCATGGAGGTGATATTCGAGCCCCTACTTTGGGCGCACAGAGGGTGAGTGGGTGTGAGAGAGGTGCTTACGCGCCATGCTATGACTTACATGAATACAACTTACCATGTCGCCCTGTGCAGCGTCGAGTTGCGGTGGTTTTATGTGACGGACGCGACGGGCAAGGTGGTGAAGGCCTTTCCATGCCTGGGGGACTTCCCAGAGTCGTCGCGGTCAACTGCGACTCTGCAGCAAGGCTCACATCGGCCGTGTTCTTCGTGCTACATCAAGGAGACACATTTTGCAGAACTGTCACGTAAGTCGGTGGTGCGGACGGTGGAGCTGCAGAGGCGGGTCGTGGAGGCAATTCAGTCGGCTGACGACAACAAGGCGGCGGAGAAAATCCAGAAGCGATGGTCCACACACCCTGTGCATGTGAGGAGTTGCAATGCATAATATGCTAGTATCACGGTGTCGGGTTATGTACATGGGGGGGGTGACTGTGCGCCCGTTCATATGTTTGCCGTTGTACGGTGTGGCAGTGCTATTTGGAACGGTAGAACTTTGCCGAGACCACGTGGGGAAACGTGTTCCTCGCATGCGCGGCGGACCTTCTCCACGTACTGGACGGGGGAATGCTGCCACGCATGGGCAAGTGCTTCATGATTGGTAGGAGCAAGCCGGAGAGGCGTGAGTTTGAGAGGTGGGTATGGATGGGAATGGCGACACGTTCGTGGTCGTTCCGGGGGCTGTGCTGACCCTCTATCCCCTCCATGGCAGGCGTCGCAAGGAACAAAAGAAGGACATGCGCGCATGTGTGGTGCGCATCCCGGGGAGGACCACATGGTTCAGCACAGGGGCGAACTACGCCGCTTTCGAGCACAGGGGGATGATGCAAGTGATGCCCCTGCTTATCGCAAACAACATGGAGAAGAGCAAGCCGCCGGCCAAGGCTAAACGGGAACGGGAAGTGGCTGCGTTTGTTGCGTACGCCAGCTTCCACAAGGCCCTGGTGGGCGTGACAAAGCATACCGAGAAGTCACTGGACGATGTCCGCGAGATGGCTGTGCAGTACGTGCCAAATCCCTTTGTGATTTCATTTTTGTTGACCATTCGTGTGTGATGTCCGGCCTAAGCGTGACTCCAACTGCGCGTACACAGGATGGTGGCGGCCATCAAGGCCGCATTCCCTGACCAGACGTCGGACTGGAACATCCTGAAGGTGCACCAGATCGTGCACTTGATTGACGGCATACCACTGCGTGGTATGCCAAACGAGACATCCACCAACCTGTGGGAGCACACGCACAAAGGCACCGTGAAGGTGCCAGTCCGGGACAGCAACTGGCATGACATCCCGCGCCGTATTGTCGAGGAGGAGGTGCAGCGCGAGATTGCACGGGAGGTGGCGGCGGAAGCGGGCGGAAATAGGCAGTATGTGACGGCGTTGCGCGAGGTGAGGAGGAGGGGTGTGTATTCAAATGCACACAAGGTGCTGTAGAATGGAGCGTACCATCGGGCTCACGGTTCTCACATGGGGCGTGCATGCAGTTGTGTGCACACAGGCCGTTCGAAGAATGAAGCCAGTCCTGACGAAGACGTCAAAGAGGGCGCACGTGGACGAAGACCTGGATGCGGTGTTGTGGGCATATCGCGAAGCACATGGGTCAGACATGGACGTGCTCGCCGGGTGCATGGTGGCGGTAGGCATCCCCACCACTACCATCGAGGTGGGGAATGACGTTGGTCATAAGATGGCTGGGGGATGGTTGATGAATCGCGGGGATAGCATGCGTGACGGTAGGGTGCGAGCGTTGTGAAGAAATCTCACCGCATACACTGTCCTCCGTCTCCGTTGAGCAGTGTACGCATGTGCACACAGCCGTGGCGATCCCCCGAACGCGGGGGGGAGAGCTTGTACCCAAGGGCACATTTGTGAAGGCCAGCCCTTCTGAGCGGTGGTTTTCAGACATCGCAGTGTTCCGGTCTGACGAAGAGGAGTGGTACGCAAGGTGCCTCTGCATCTTCCGCGCAGAGGGGGCGGACGGAGAGATGGGGCGGCACGTGTACGTGCAGTACTACGAGGAGGAGGGCACATGCCCGATGACGACATGCTTGCAGCTGTCTCCCGGCCGTGTGAGAACAAGATATGCGGTGGTGGACGTGGAGTGCATCCAGAGGGTGGTGCACGTGTGCAAGTCCTACGTGAACAAGCGGGTCATGCTCCTGAACAAGTTCCTGCTGACAGAGTGAGGGTGGTGGGTTATTTTGCCGTGACATGTGGGGCCATGTGACCATGTGCGCTGGTATGGACGTAATTGACGCAAATACAGAGTGAGGGTGGTGGGTTATTTTGCCGTGACATGTGGGGGCCATGTGGCCATGTGCGCTGGTATGGACGCAATTGACGCTGATACAGTTGACACATGGTGTGGCTCATTAAATGGTCTTGTTAATAACCGGATGCGTCGCCTGGTTGGGTTGATGTGCAACCCTTCTAACAAAGTGAGAAGTGTCCACCTGGTGTAGATGTTGGCAACCACCTTAAGGCAGAAAATGCTTTAAGGTGTGCATTTGGCGTGTCCCGAAAATGGCGGCGTTGCTTTCGCATTGCACGATGACGCGCGAGCGCCAAATGTGCGACACGGGGCAAGGTGCGCCGCGCGTGGGAAAATGTGCGGCTCGATTTTCCCGGGGCCGTTTCGCGACTGAGGGGATGTGCTAGGCCATTACATTTGCGTCACATGTGTTTTGGGACATTTTAGGGACTCGCTGGCACTTTTTGTATGGTTTTCCGTAGAAAAACCCACTCACAGGGAAATTGCGCACCTAACTTTTCCTCCTTGAAGGAGGCGATCGCGAAGTACAAACTTCACTCCCTCAACGCAGAGTTCTTCCTCAGCACCTGCGACGCGCACATTAGCAAAGCCTCCTCCGTCGCCGCGCGTCGCGCCGGCCTCCCGATTTTCAGCCCGCACGGCGCGCCCGGCAGCATCGACATACTCTACCCTGACCCGGTCGATTTGAGCGAGAGCTATTTCAGGAGCGGGGAGGATGCTGTGCCGTGGGAAAAGAAGCAAAGCCGGGCTGTTTTCGCGGCGGAATGACCAACTTCCACGTCAGCTACGACACGCAGTGGCGCGCTAGCCCGCGGTTACGCGTGCATCGGATGTCGGACGTTCGACCCGACATCCTCGACGTGAAGGTCGTCAAGAGTCACCTGAACTCAGCTGTGGACCGGGAAATTCTGGATAGCCTGCATGAGTGAGGATGGGATTGAGCTGGGTGATCGTCTTGGTCCGTCGCAGTTACAACGAT